CGCGAACTCGTTTGAATGAATGTGGGCTTTCAAATTTGTATCAAATTTCAACAAAATCGGTCGATTTTTGCATGAGTTATTGTACTATCTAGTTATGTACTACTATAGTTATTGTACTATGAGTTATTGATACATATGGTCACCTTTTTAAAGTAAATTATTATTGGGCACACACGCAAACACATCAACACATACATATAGAAATTCGAACGAATTGTGTTTTTTTGCCTCTGGAGACGACAAAACCAAACAGTAAATCGGTCCCGGGTCCAGTACGGTAATAGCTTAAATGGGAAATTCATTACAAAGATAATTAATTTTTTACAAGGTTAGTGTTGATCTTTAACTATGTGAAAAAAATATAATAGTATACTAATTAAGAAGATATATTTTTGTTTTGTTACAGCTATAAAAATGACCCTAAAATTTTATAAAATACAGTATTTTGGTAAATATTGTAAGAATAAGTTCACTAATATCATTGACTTTTATAAAGTCAATGCTATAATATTCTATAACGAAGTTTTTTTTTAGAATAATCTAATTCTGATGAGGCTAGTACAGTTACTCAGCTATCGGCTTTAGTTAAGATACAATCTATATATAACACAGTGTCATTACCATTTAAAAATGAAGGTATTTCGATTGAATTACAAAATTACCTATATACGATAAAATTTCAAAGTTTTTAATATTAGTAATATATTATAATGTAAGCTCAGTTGCTCCTTAAGAGCTCATTCGATTTTAATCCACCTCGAGATATCCAATCAGAAGTGAAATACGAAGACGAACAACACATGTATATACTACAAATTTAAGATTACTATACGAACATGATAAGGACATTTTTAGGTCTTTACCTATCCAACTCAAATTGGTTAAATTTGAAAATTGTCCAGGGCCTTAATAATAGAGGGCATTTAGCATATGATATGCTGTAGAGATCTTCGTCGAAAACTTTATTTGAGAAGCTGATTCATTGAACATCTTGAAAGGTTTCAGTATCGTATCGAAAATAAATGTTTAAGACTATAAATGTAATTGAAACTGTTAAAAGGTTGTTTACAATGCGTTGTTTTAAAACATTTCTAGCCTTTCCGAACAACATAGTTAAACACTTCCTCTTAATAATGTGAGACGATAGATTCAGCTGACACATGTTTTCCACGTAGCATAAAAACTACGTTCTTCTTCTTTCTAATCGTATTTATATACGAATGTAATTTATTTATTTTCGAATTGTTAATTCGAAAAGAATTTATGAACACGAATTGTGGATATTTATAGGCATGCGGTGCTCACTGGAGTGAATTAACGTCCGCACTAGTGACTACTACGACTATCCGCAGTACTATCGTGATAATTAGACAGATTAGAAGGCAAAAAAGTGGTTCGGATTCCACTATAAACTGTAAGTCCTTTAATAACTGTTGCCATTGTCTGTGTGAGCTATTAATTAACAGCTGTTTCTAAGGAATATGTTGGCCTTAGTCACTAACAAGACTACTAAATCGCACCACTCATCTCCATTCATACTTGACTTAAAATACCAATATACATATGGTCACCTTTTTAAAGTAAATTATTAAAGTAATATATCAAGCCTGGCTTTAAAAAGGCTTCAATGCAATTTTGGCATAGTATTCGGTGTAGACTTTACTTGCAAATAAAGTGAAATATAAATTAAATTATTTACACACCCGTAATACTGCCATTTTGTTAGAACTACCATCAATATCACAAACTGGTTTTAAAGACGGGTACAACAGTTTTAATTTGCACCTGGTGAAATAGGAACAAGACTTCAAAGAAACATGGAAATTGTTCTCCTCCTACCCTACTAAGAGATGTTGGCAGTTTCGTTGAATCTCCAGTAAAAATGGATCATGCTTTAATCATTAATTGTGATTTGATTTCACAACGAATTTCTTGTTGTGTGAACTTCCACGTGTTATATATCTTGAAAAGTATGTTTGTTGGTTCATCTTAGCGTTTATGACATTTAAAGTGTTTATATATTTATTGCTGAGGTAGATTTTGCACACTTTTATAATGATTCTACATACTCAAATAAGTTGGCATTCATAAAACGAAACGTTACATTTATTATTGCTTAATGTAGGTAATTAATTTAATTGGACACTGTAAATTTTGGTGTATAGATAAATAATTAGCTTGTCATTTAAAAATGGATTCTATATTGACCGTCAACTTACCATACCAAGGACCAATAAAAGAACAAATTCCTTTATGAATACCTTATTTAAGTAACATAATTTAGTAAATAGTATTTACTCATAAAGCTAATTTTCATAGCTTTTATCGATACAAGTAACTATTGTTATAAGCCAATTTTATCATTCAAGGCCTAAACATATCAAACTCTAAATGTTTTGAAGTTAAACTGAATAATTCACATAACATAGTGTTTCGTAAAAACAAGTAATTGATAAATGCATTTAAATATCTATGTCATTCATGTTAACAAAAGACTAGAAAAAAGTAAGCCTATATAAATTAAAACAAGCAGACAAGAGAAGAATTTGAGAGAGAAACTCAAGTTTTGTTACATCTTTTGTCTAAATGCGTCCATTTTCTTGTTCCTCTTTAATTACCCAAACTTTCTTCAGTATCTTCGTTACAGAAATCTTGTAAATGGATATTATAAAGTCTTAAGTAAATATTTCTCAATGTATCTCTTGTATAATCTAGGAAAAATCTTCACTGTTATTTCAAATTCACCTAGGATTTATGTATTATTACATTATTTCAAAGCAAACCTGATAAATTATAATTACAATCTTATCAAAATAGTGACATACTAGTTACGCTACACTATGGTAAGAAATTGTCAACTTTTGAAACCTAAAGGACCTACTAATAAAATGAGTCCGTTTTCTTTTTCTAAAATACATGGTGTATATAAATGATTCATCAGGTTTTAATTTAATGCATCTCTCTTATTTCTTATCCCACGTTAATGACTTTAACATGCGATTAAAGAGTGTTTTCAATGTCTATAATTAGCTGTTCGATTCATTCTTGTCATTTTCTCGGGTTTATTCAAACCGTGTTAAAAATTATAACAATTAAAAATATATTCTCCCCTTTATGTGGGGTGGCAGATGTACCAAAAATGACTGGTATTCTCGATAACCTGGCCTTACTATGTTTGATTTGTTTCTCTGTGGCCATGTTAAAGATGAAGTGTATTTAGTGCCAATATATGTATGTACCTTCAAGAGCTACGTTATTTTTTTACAGCATTGACATCACCGTAAATTATGCCTTTTTTCATTAAAAACAACAACGATGGTAGAGAGTATCAAATGGTTTAGCATTTCTATTTAGGTAAAGCGAACGAGTTTTTCAGACTTTTCGTATCAAATTAACAAGGCGGATTTAAAGGGAAAGGTCACGCCAGGAATATCTCTGTTCAATTACAGTAATTCCCAACAATCTCTTGCGTTCTTCTCCCAGAAATTTGTAAAACTATTTTGTGAAAAATCCTTACTTTTATGTTTAAAACCTATTTTTAAAACATTTTGAAATTCCTGCCATGTTTAAAATATTTAAAAAAATTTACCAAATTATTTAGGAAAATTAACTAGCTAAACTGGTCACGATGTGCTTTGTTGTAACATTGAAAACAGATTAAAACCTAAAATAAACGTGTTGTGTACAAAGGCTTTAATTGAATACTCATTCCTAAACTCCCTCTATTATAATGGGTTAATATATTTTGTTAGTAATCATTTAAATTCTCATTTTTCTTGATGAGAACCTCTGTATATTAGCTACAAATAGCCATTGATTTAGTTTAAATCTAATCTTTGACTTAGCTAACAAATAAGAGGTTTTAACGTTGTTTTACAAATACGTCGTTATCAGTTATAAGGTTTTTGCAGTACATGTTATTTGTTAGCTCTTTCGTATTTGTTTTTTTTTTATTACAATGAGGATGAGGACTTGTGTGGCTTCATCAGACTGGATTTAGCCAATGTTAGATTCACATCTGATTTGGAACTCAGATGATTTTTTGTACTATTGTTAAAGTATCAATAATTGTTTTATTGAAAAATAAGTGTTTATCCTACTTTTATTTTCAACTAATCACACTTCATAAACCTTCATATGTAAACTGATCATTATTACTCCGCACCAAGAAACACGAAACTAAACTACAAACCGTCATCCACTAAATTATCTACACTCCCACAAAACTTTATCTGGTCTAAAAAAAATATTCCTTGCTATTATAAAGACATCTTGCTTGTGGTATTATACTACAAACGATTACATAATGTATATATGTTACCATATCAATCAACATCCATAATTTATTTCATTTAAACATTTATTTTATTCCCTTATATAACCAGTTAACATTTACAATTAGCTTATGTATGAAGGTAAACCATAACTCAAAACTCGATAAAAATAAAGGATAATATTGTTTTACATAAAAGAATATTCAAACAAGAAATTTAGGTTGACACTTTCTTGGTGAGATGTGGCTATGTTTAAATTCGCACTCTCAGCAAACTTCAAGCAGAGCTGTTTAATATCGGCAGACTTACCCGTTGATAAGCCGGATGGAAGGCACGGCGTGGTGAAATGAATGGAGTGCATTCATAACTTGTCACCTAAAAATTAATGCTACCATGAAAGTGTAGGCTTTGTGTAGAGTGGTTTCCTGATTAAAGATAAATTACGTACTACAGACGCCGATGGGGGTAATGATACGGGATGACTCTTGTAAGGTGTTCACTAGTTATTTCAGACACACCGTTGGTCCTTCATAGATTAATTTGATATTTCCTACTAATCCAACCCCCCAAGTTCACATTAAAATATTTAAAATGTGTTTTGAATACCATATGCACCAAATTTAAAGGTTCAATAGCTCAGAATATAACTTTTTAACTTAGTTAAAAAACAGCTCTTCGTGTGAATAAAAATTTTACTATTTTGAGTACTCTATATTTGCCTTTGCAAATCTTAAGAGCTAATCTATACATTGATATGTAATTTCACAATTTCATCACAAAAACTACACTTTCAAATAGTAGTATGTGTCAAATTGCATATTTGGTAATTTTGTTTGCAATGCCGTTGGTATCTCCTTGGACAGCGTAGCATAATAAGTTTGAATAATCTTGCAATCAAAACTGATTTTTAATTGAAATGGTATTATAGGTTATGTACCTTTGTTTGCCTTTAAATAGTAGTCTAAGAATCCTTGGACTAGCCTCTATAAAAAGACTGAAGACGGACAAAGGTACGATACAATATTTGTTGCATTTTGACAATTTCTATACCTCAGCAATAATAAATAATGATACCTGGGAGCTATCAAACTTTGTTCTTTACAAAAATCCCAAACACCAGTATTCTAGGGTGCAAAGTTTCAGTGTAAAAACGTTGCATGTGATATCAACTGTACCCAAGTGATGTTTTCCACTAAATTTACACTTAAAAATTTAAAAACTTAATATTTCAGACTATTACTTTAAGAAATCCTAAAAACATTCTTTTGACTATAACCATGGAAAAATTTTGTCTATTCTCTTTTCGTGGTTTTTTCTAGTTCCTGTAAAGTTTCCAAAACGGCAGCTGGAAAGTTTTTCCAGGGAGATATTCAATCAAGCGACGTTTTCACAGCACAGTTTAAATAAAAACTTTAATCACAACAAACACGAAACTACTTATTTCTTAAAACACAAGTAACTACAACACGTTTACCGAACTGTGAGATCAAATGGGTTTGAGTTAAATGTCTTTTGTGTTACTTACAAAGGCTTGAACTTGTGTAGCCAGTTATAAAGATAAAAGGAAAATTTAAATTATTTTACAAGTTTAACTCAAATCGTTCAATCACTAAGCTAATTAAGAATTAATTAAGAATATTTTTGCCTTAAATTAGTAGAAAGGTTAAGGTAGAATAAATCCAAATGGAAATTTAATTCTTTGTTTGATGTCTGGAACTAGCGGATTTTCTTGCTAAGTACCTAGTCTTCCTCGGAGTCAGCGTTTACCCGGTTGTAGCACGACCTTCGTGCTGAATAATCTTTAAATTTATCACTGAATTTTCCATTGAATCGGCCGTTTACTTTGTACAACTGAAAAGTAGTAAAATAACTTGTTATTGTCAACACACAAACACGTAATAGAATGATTAAGATACATTGTTTCACACATAGTACATTGCTATTGCCCCTTAAATTTGACCATAGTAAACTTGTTTGTTAGCTTACTGTGTTCAGTGATTTTTAGTTAGTAAAAACTGGCTGAGGGCCCGGCCCGTTCTACGGACTCCGATCTTCAGTCATTTGAAACATGATTTTATTCAAAATGGCAATTTTTTTAATATAAATTTTGCATTTTTCCAGATGTGCTGGCAAAACTATTATAGGGTACACATAACCTTCACAAACGTAATATACAGGGTGACAAAAAAGTATGGAAACGGCTTGATATCTTTTAAACAAAATTCGTTAGAAAATTCAAACTTTTCACATCAACTTATATGTATGAAAACTACTTTTGCAAGCATTACCATTTTTTGACCTTAAGAACCTTGGTAATTTTGTTGGCAATTATGTTGACCTTTGCCCATGAGGAGTAGGTACATAATCTTTAATGTAAGCATAGGTTGATATGCACGTAATTTTAAAGGTCTGGTCAAGTGGAGTTCATTGCCGGAAACCGCGTCAAAAAAGGTTCATCCGTTACAAAATGGCGGCTGTGCAAAGTTCTTGCGGAGTACCTGCAGAGGCCTTAGAATTGGTAAATACTCATATTCAACATTAGCCGGGAAATCTGAAACCTGTTTAAATTTGTTTTGAAGATTGAATAATATGAGTCTATGAGCTAGTTGACTTAAAAATACAGTTTCAGCTCTCAAGCTAATGCTTAATACGAGTATTTACCAATAGTAAGGCCTGTGCAGGTATATTCAACAAGAACTTTGGACAGCCGCCATTTTGTAGCGGATGAACCTTTTTTGACGCGATTTTCGGCAATGAACTCCACCTTTAAAATGATGTGCATATCAACCTATGCTTACATTAAATATTATGTACCTACTCCTCATGGGTCGTCCTCTGGTAGAGGTAAAAAAATGATAATTCTTGGAAAAAGTAGTTTTCATACATGTAAGTTGATATGAAAGGTTTGAATTTTCTAACGGATTTAGTTAAAAAGATATTAAACCGTCTCCAGACTTTTATGTCACCTTGTATGTATGGCTGTATACAAAATGAAGTAATAAATTTTATTTCGAAAAAAAATCGGAGATATTTTACAATACACAGGCTAAGATCTACTGATATGAAATCAACTTAAAGCGCCAGCAATTCATGATGGTTTTCTCGTAGAATATTTAACCAAATCTTGAACTCATCATTAGTAAAACTTATCTTATTAGTTCCAGAGTTATGAAATGCATTAATGGGTAATTTACTGTTACACAATTTCACAATTTTTATGTAACACTGACTACTGAATCAAAATTAAAATATAATAAACTGAAAGTAAAACTTCTCTGACATATTTTAAGAGTTTTAACGTTTCATAATTTGGTGATTATAAATACAGCCAGAGCTTGTTATAGAGGAAAAACGTTTTGCCAGCTCAATATCAAAAGTCGATTTTTTTACACTTCAAATTAACATTTAAGAGTTTTCGAACATACCCCAGAGTGGTTTTCTGAGTACATTGCAGGATACTCTAGCGGTACTCCAAGCTTTGGACAGAGGTCCTTTATGACATCCTCATTGACAACATCCACATGCACTGTGAGCAGAACGATCCGAATATAGGATGACCAGTAACTCAGTGTGTACCAATCCTAGTAAACATATGACAGTCCTCATCTTATATTGTATGTATATTGTTTTGTAGGTTGTATATGTTTTGGTCTAAAATCCTCAGTGAAAAAACAGCTTTGAGCTATTGATTATTCAGATCGGAGGTACCTGAAGCACAATGTTTGATCACGAATCTATAATTAATTTGAGATATTGATCGATTGAATCGGTTAAGTTCAAAATATTGTATTACTCAATCGAAATACATAAATATTATTATTATTTCTCTTATATTGAATATCATTTTAGATATATTTACTCAATTCTAATTACTTTATCCTGTACGTTTTAATCCAAGAAACTTCAGTGAAATTATAACTAATCATTTGAGTTCTTGATTACTAAGATCCTAAGTACCTAAAGCACGCTGCAAAACCACCAACAACCCAGATGAAAAAAAATAATTGAGTTATTTGTCATTGATTTATAGTTGTATTATTTTGCCTGAAGTCAATTTCGACAGGTTTCACATAGTCATTTTAAAATTTATTACTCACCCTTATATTTTCTATATCCGAATCCAGGCAATTCTTTTGGCTTTCACCTCGTATCTTTAGGCAGCCCGGCTTGTAGTTGTGAAAGAAAGTGTAAATCTTGGTGAAAGCCTTGTACTCTTCATGTCTTTTGTCATATTTAGCCTACACACCCCAAAAATGTGTTAATCGTATTAATCAAACTTTGGATAAGATAGACAAAGTATTCAGTGTATGCAATCCAGCAAGCGTAATTTGTTTGTAATTACTATCCTTGTTACAACGTTATGAGTCCAAGAAATTTATCGTGTACCTAAATCCAATTTTACTTCTATTTCATGTATTGATTGTATTTTTTTACTTCTGAATCATATGATTGTATTGTTTATGCATAGACAACTATGAAAGCAGAAGAATGGATGTTCAATCAATAGAAGATTAGTATTATCAACTAAATTACCTAAACCTTGACAAGAAATAATCTTTCAGGATAATAAGCAGAGTTTATTAGTTGAGATAATTATTATATACTTACTTTGTCAGTAACAGTGAAGTGTTCGTTCTGTAAAATAATGTTCAATCATTATTTGAGCCAAATTTGTAACAGTAATAGTACTACAGTTGATCGAAATAATTTCTACACAAACAGTTTTTTTTTATTATTAAGCTTATTTGCCATCTACAGATTGGTACTGAAAAATTGGTCTAAGTAAAAATTAAAGACTACATAGCTTACCTACCATACGCTCGGGTAGATCGGAAAAAATCACCATCTTTGAAATATAGCAATTAAGGTTGAAAATGATCATCTGGTTATGGGAATAACTAATCTTTATTTAATACAATCTACCAAAATAGCTGCGGTTGGTACCACTGGGTTGAAAAACACCTCACGTTTTCCCCACACAGCTGTATGTGCACAGACATGCACAGACAACATGTTGAGAATGTTAACAATACTAATATGGTAAAATTGTTATTTATTGATTTGGTTAAAAATGGTTCACCCTCTTAAAGAAAGGTCTTCTTGTGTGCTGGAGTTTGAAAGAACTCGATCTCCTACGACTGTTTAACTTTAGTTTCGGACGAGTTATCATAGAGACCCTACAAATAGGAAGTCAATCTACGACTGGCATCGGAAGTTCAAAGCCACGTGTATAGAAAAAGGGAAGAGCTCCAGGAGACCAGCAACGTCTGGTGATCAGGCTGAGTTAATCCGTGCAACAATTGTAAACACCCCGAGGATATAAACGTGGAGAGTGGGCATGTTTTGCTAGTGGGGTTATGTAAAAGTCAGAGTTTTTTTAACCTTCTTTGCCACGAATCTCTTGGAGCTCAGGCATCGAAAATACTGCTGCATTACAAAGTGTTGATGAGACCACTCTTAAAAACGTTTGGTAAGAATTATATTTTATTATAGATGTCTGCAAAGCAAGCTGTGGCTCACATACTGTACACTTGTAGTGTATAGGAGAAAGCTTGAGGCTTTTATATTTCTAATGGTGTATGTTACTCTTTCTAAGTCGGTAAAACTTTGCTGTTATTTTTAAACAAAGTTGTTTGCTTCTTTTGTGTAAACCGGCTCAGTTAGCACAATAATTAGCGTTTGTCCGACTGGAATAAAATTATGTATATACCGACAACTGACAAGTTAAAAATACAACATGACTGCCTGTTCTCCACAAAAATATATAACAGCAGAAAGACTGGTTGGCCTCTAATTTTTGACTGACTTTCAGGTGAGGGTGAAACGCAGAACGAAGAAATTAATGTATCACAATAGACTATCCAACACAAGGGAGTGTTTTATCTATGGTATCACGGAAAGTCGAATAAGTTTAAAATTATGATCATCAGACTCAATAGGGTATAAGTAGGGGAAGGACGTATATCTAGTAACTGCTGAACAGAAAATTACATGTTTTAATATACGTAAAACAATGACAGACGCGATAGCTTCTTTGTTCGGCTTGGTTAATAATGCATAAATTATTAAACTAAACCTTGTTCCAAATACTTAATAGAAATATCTAACACCCTACTATTTACAGTGGAAGAAAACCCGACTTACCTTATTTTTTAAGTCAAACCAAAGATTATTGTGAGATGGCAGATCATGTTTTTGTATGAAATCTTTAGTGAGGATTTCTCTAGGAACAATAAGGTAAACTCCATTTTCAACACCATATGTTGCGAACTCTCTCGCAGCATTAGCCTGAAAATTTCATGAAATATTTTTCGTTAGATAGGTATAATAAATAGACTTTCACATTTTAAAAAATACCCCCGCCGCAGAAGACCCAAGCCTTACCATTACCAGCGGTAATGGCAAACCTTAGCGGATTACCATTTGCTAGGCTCGATTTTCTCTAAAACAATCCCTTGGAGTTGTCGCATTTAATTTATATTATTTAAGAGACATTAGTTTAAATAAGCACCTGAGTTTGCAGGGAAACTGATAAAACATCGATTACTGAGTATGAACAAATTTGCTGAAGTTCACCGAAATATACACTTAAACAAGCAAACTACAACAGTTTTTTACATTCTCTATAAAAATTAAACACGGGTCTGACTTACGGGAGGTATAAAATGAGGCATCGATGACATCATAGTTTAGTTCAAAATTCCTCCGTGAACAGTGCTGTAGTAGAAAGCACAGCGCGTAATTTTTATTTCAGTATTAATTAGTTATAAAATTTAGAAAAATTATAAAATTAATCTTATAATTTTAATCATAAAATTAAACTGTCATAACCTAACTAAACTAACCAAACTTGCTGACAATGAAAAAATCGAATGAATGTTTACTATTAAAAAAGTAGTTCTGTTCATAAAATAAAACTATAAATGGCTTAAATTTAATTTTATAATGTTTTTATTATAAAATTAAACAGTTATAACCTGACCAAACCAACCAAACTTGCTGATAATGAAAAAGTGTTAGACAAAAAGTTAATGCTACCAGCAGGGTCCGAGCCCGGCACCTACAGATTATCAGCCAGGAACGCTTCCACTACACCACCGAGGCCGATGGCTCAATACCGTATCGTTGCGGTAAATGTTGTTCTCTCAAGAGAAGAGATCTGACAGCTGACGTCATCGAAGGCTCTTCTATGACTCCCTTGAGTAAATACCAATTAAATACAACTTTGGAATTGACGTCATATATATATATATATATATATTTTAATCCTTACACAATATTTTTTGAAAATAAATTGCAAAGATTGATATTCAGGGGGTAAAAAAATTGGAAAATTCAATTATACCCCATTAAACCCCCATCAAACCCCCATTACACCCCTGTTCCCATAGTCTGAACATACTTCGTGATCGTTATAGTTCGTGAACTCGTTTGAATCCACTAACTGGGTTTACAATGTTGAACCCAATTTCATCATTTTATCAAAATGGGATTGTTTTAAATATAGTTATCGTGTGAACTAAAATTCACACACACAAACATACATAAACTCACGCGTGCGCGCGCACACACAGGGTGTTCAAAACAGTTAGGGACATAATTTACGTAGTAATTCCTTGGGTCGAAATAAAGAGAAAATCTGAATAAATTTGTTTTCCATTAATCGAGCGTTAACCAGATAATTTAGATTTTTTTCAATCGGTCTTTATGAAACTTGATAGGTCTATCTGTGTTAAAGTAGATGAGAATTATGTTAGAAAAGAAAGTTATCTTACTAAATATTTCAAAATAGCAGCCATAATTTTTTTTACTTAAATTACTAAACTATGGCTGATTTTATAAAAAATGACACTTTAATTTGTCATTTTTAAATACCGTCTATAAAATTATACCAAGTGTAAAAATATCGAATAAGAAATAGCTGAAATATCACTATTTTTAGTTGTCAAATGGGGTAGAATAAGGCTAAGCTAGTTAGGTTCGTCTCATTTTATAACTAAAAATCATGATATTTCAGTTATTTTTTAATCGGACTTTTTGAATTTGTTATCGATTAATAGGTAGTTCAAAAAGGTTAAATAAAAGTGCACCTGTATATGTACCTCCCTCAACAATTTACCTCTGCAGAAGAACCTCTACGATCACACTAACGAATTGAAAACCTAATCGAACAAGTCATAAAGTCACAATGATTGTTTACACCACAATCGGTACCTCGGGCCATTACTCTCAAATCATCACAAGTTGTTTGTGTTGAAAACGGAAAACAATTATCAGTGACATAAATGATGAATTTTCCAAATTATTGATCAATAATTTGTTTGGCCTTTTTCAATTTTCATCAATAATCAATCACAAGTTGTTTTAGTGTAAGGAAAGTCGGATATGTTAACTCATATGCTTTTTCAAATAATCGAATAGTAATAAGTTAATAAGATATGTGAGTAATAATTAATCCGGTAAAACTAGTCCGAATTTGAATAAAACCAACAATTCACCGAGGCCATACTTCGGGCTAAGAAGGTCGGTGTTGATCGGCCTTAGTTTTCGGAGGAAATAAGAGGGAAAGCGCTAGTGGCATAGTTAATAAGGCCTAGCCCGAAGTAATGTGCTTAATAGCTCTAGGCTAGTGTCCAAGGAGATGAGGTTTTTTTTGCCGGTAGTCCGGGGACATTGAGCCCGCGTTAGTCCGACACTACTGAGAGGCCATTGAGCATCTTAGTGTGTGTAAATGCATTTTTACCTCATCCCAACGAAGAAAATGTCCTTTAAATGAAAGATTGGCTACAACTGGTCTGTTCAGATGGAATGTAAATCTCGACACCCAAAAGTGAATGATAAAGCTCATTATAAAGTTGGTTTGTAGGTCATAAAGCCATTTTATCATAAAGTCATTTTAATTAGTGCTTGAATATATGGAAACAGAAGAAGTCCTAGAAATGTTCACTTTTTGTGAATAAATTAATTAATTTACAAACTACGTGTCAAAATAAAGTATTTTTTGTGTAGACGACCCTTTCACCAATAATTCCTGTAAAAAACAATCCTCGGGCTTAGCCCCACAGGCCATCAAAGTTGGAGTCTCTCCCATAAGATTAACATGGGGGAATCTAAATATTTAATTGGTAACTTTGTCCCCTCTAATTTGAGAGAACGGCTGGGCGTAGAAACTTGGTAGAGGTGTCCAAAGAAGGGTCTTGGTCTGTAGATGAGTGATCAAAAGAAAAACTAATCAAAATCCCTTAAGACTCTGCCCCAGGAGCCTTTAAAGATCCCTCCACAGAGTTGTTTACATTTTGGCCATGTGAATAATACTTTTTAATGAAACAGCTGTTAATTTTTAAATTATATTTCAAACAACACACATTTATTGGGAGTTACTTAATTCTACCAAATAAGTATTTGCAATGTTATTTTCTGATTTTAAAGTGATTTTCTTCTTTATCATGTCATGATTTGCAATATAACGTTCCATTACGAAATCAGTGGAAAATCCTTTCATCACAGCAATTCTTAAATTATTTCTTATTGAACTATCTTATATCTATTGTACGGGTTGGTGTCTGCCTTTTTCACCACTTTTGCCTACATTTTATCATATTATTCTACACATATCAAATATTTATGTAGAAATATCTGCTCTTATCGTGTCTAATTATATCCAAACATAGAAACTTTGTCTAAAATGGTACCCATCTTGACAAATTATTTGCACCTGCAAATAAGGTCTTTACAAATAAGGTATTAAGGACCTTGGCGCACTGGTATGGTAACATGATTGAAAATAACACAACATTTTGGCTGTAAAAGATGGTACAAAGAGAAAATACTATTTAAGCAGCTACTGTCATGACAGAAAGGTCATATTCCTTTTAAACTATATCACATAATCCTTAATAAGATACGTTGATTAACAATATGTAAATGTAAATATATACGTAACAGCCAATTTACAGTATTTTTGCTTTTTGGAAATGTCCCATTGCTATGTCATTTGCATTATTTGTTGAAGCCTATGAAGCCGCACGACCATATAAACGAGGAGGCCCCTAACAGTACAAGAATAAAAGCCAACTTCACTTCGTATTCCACTACACCTAACATTCCGTAGAAAGATTATATTGACAACTTTATGTTATTGATAAGGCTGAGACAACTAACTGACATACCTCCTGTCAAGGAATTCCAGCTTTAACAGTAACCCGACAATCAATAATTTCTCAAAACTATGCTAGAGGGTTCATTCGTTGGCACAGAAGTACAACTCGTAATTTATATTATATTGTTATGAACAGTTGACAATTTAATTGTTAGTACAGCAACAGCTGGCGCCATCACATCAGCTGATACACGTGTTCGGTAGGTGTAACACTTAGAGGAGGGGCTTATGAAATACTCCTCTCTGGTTGGCGGAATATCTTGCAAAACCTACTATAAACTCACGATTACCAGAGTTGTGTTCTACACCTGGTCATTTATCACTTAACATGAAATTTATTATCACTAAATAAACAGTTTGACGTTTCAGCTAACGTTTTACTGTTTGTTTTTAAATTACTATCCAATTTCTCTTGCTTCACACCGTTCATCCCATAACATACCATTGGAAATGTTAAAAACCGGTTGGGAAAGGTTCAATACAACTTAAAACATTCAACAATCATGTGTTCCCTGACGCAAAATATATTTACAATTATTGACAAATTCCAATACTGAAGTAAGCTTTATTATACAGCTGCGTTAGTAAATCTTCTTCATAAGATATACATTGGGATTTTGATAGAATGTGGGGCAAAGTCTATTTCCTACTGGTTTTACTATTTGGTGAAAGTGGGCGCTACACAAAAATACTTTGGATGGTGGGGGATTCGCAACATCCATTTTCTAAGGTAGTGGACTTTGTAAAAGTGGAAAAATTTAATTATTCTCGGAAAACGTTAAGAGACATAATTTGAAACTATTCATGTAAGTATAAATAATTTGAAGATATTGCTTAGCAATAACAGAAAATACTTCATTTGCTATACATTTTTGTCCCACAGGTGCGTTACATGAGATTGTACTTTGACACTCGCCGTTTACGTCAATATTGCTCAAACATTATTTTATTATACTGTATATAGAAATGAAGCGGAATTTTAAAGCCCTACATGTTTGCTAAAAGATAAAATCAGCAATTCCTCAATAATTATGGCAAAACCCCAAAAATAATGAAAACATGTCTAAATTTTTTAACATAATTTCAAATTTAATTTGTTTTTTCACTATTAAAGTCATATTACTATTATATAATATGGTATATTCTTGTAGGTAACATTATGGCGAAGAATCTAAGACTAATTAGACTTTTCTAGATGGGGTGTTTTGGGAACAATAAGTTGTTATTGAAGTCTTGTTTTAAAGTTTTTTTTCACTACTTTTGTACTGGCCTGTGATTGTTTTCTGCTTCTTCTGTATGTAAGATTATTGTATTATCCATGTAAAAATGGTGCAACCGTTAACAAATAAATAAATAAGTTTTTATGTGGAACCTTGCAGTGTTTTATAGATTGTCCGCCATTTTCCAAGATGGCGGATTTTGCTAAAGTGGGAAAAGTTGGGAATTTTCACAAAATGTTAAGGAATGCATGCCTAACACATTCCAGTTGGTTTTGCTTTGTTATTAATTTTGCCCAGGTAAAAGTTTAAAAGGCCTAGCCTAATATATTTTTTGCCAAGTTTCAAAAGGTTAAGTTGAACAAATTCAACGACAAAATTTTGATGTAGAAAATACAAAATGGTAGATGTATGGTTAACGATGCGATTTTGAAAAAAGTTTTATTCTTGATTTTCTCTATATTTTCAACCAAGAAATCGCTGTGTCCCCACCTTTTTTGAACACCCTGTGTATATATTTAAAATGTGACCGTCGCTGCTTACTGAAAACTTGATAAGAAACGTAGCAGTACTAATGAAAATTGTGCCAATCTTTAGAGGCCCAATGAAAAGTGCAAGAGGTGGCGGATCATTGGCTGTACTTGGTTGGGCTTTCGGTATATCTAGCAAAGGTCCTTTACAAGTAGGGCGAATCTCATTTAGGATTGACAAGCAAACAATGCAGTAAACCAAAATTTAACTACAAATTACTCAAAAGTATCCGAAGAATTCCATCGCATTAAATGGACGTTGCGTCCTATATTTCTTTATTGTTTTTTTTTTTTTACCATCCGTAGATAAATTTGTAGTAGTTGACCAGCTGGAAGGTTTAACCCAATATTAAAGTCGTGAAGTATGTATAAAGGGCACCTTCCACTCAAATTAAATAAAAGAAATCCCTTAAAAAACCCAAAACTGTTAAAACTATAAGCAGATTACTTACCTTGAACTTTACGTCATCGTCTTTTTTTGCATCCGTATCGTCGTTAAAGAAGAAAATAGCAAGTTCTTTATCTTTGTATTTTTCATGCCGTTTTTCATAGTCCGACTAAAACACAATTGTAAAAATATTCATAATTACATTTTAAACTAGGTCACATTAATAGTAATCTTCAAAGAAAGAACAGAATAATTTTGAATGTTGAGAACTGCGTTTGTGCTAAGCGATTATTTGTACTTAGTACCAGGGACAGATTCTTGTTTGGTAGCGGATAATTGGGTTTAAACAATATAAAACGTACACGTTTTAAAATATGATTACAGTGTTTAGTAAAAACCATTAATTTTCATTTTTATTTAACTTTTATTTAATAGCTGAAATAGGAATAAATCTGCAATGTAAAAATAAATAAATAAAGATAAATATATTTGAACATATTTATGTGTGCTACGTTTACGGAGTTTGTCTCAGCTGTTGTTCATTTTTACGGTCATCGATCCAACAACATAACAATCTATATAAATAAAATTACCGTTTTGTCTGTACATTGCTTAGAATCATGCAGTTTTTGGTTATTTTTTCGTTTCATGGCCTAAGAAAGCCGAAACGAGTCTTATCTTAATTACTGTCTGTATGTCTGTCGTTTGTCCATTCTGTGGTTGCGTCTGTAACGCCAAAATGTCATTTTACGCGGCCTACTCCTTGAAAACTAGAGTACAGATCAAGATTCCAATTATTTTTCTGTATTCACTGGATTGGCGAGAGTGTCTTTGGCTATAAAAACATGGCCTCGCTTCTTTGAAAACAAAATAACGAACCATCAAAAACCCAATTTTGTTCGATTTTTGTCAAATTTTATCCCAATGTTTACTATTACTTTTATAAAATAACGATCAGCTGTTTGGATTAGTTCTCACTTCTAGCTGTCACTGATATGTTTACATTAAAAGTTGTTTACAAATACCGCAACCATTTCCGATCATGTTTTGTTAGAATATCCAAACCAAGTGAGATTAAAAACGTTGTGCCTTACTTAACAGGTTTAATTAATCGCAAGTGCAACGATTGTTCTTGAGTTTTGATAACCGAGGAAAATACTGCGAATTAGTGTTTTATTAGTGCTGGGAAACTTACATTTTTTAAATCATCGTCACCAATAGCTTACAAAAAAGGTTTCCACTCATTGACGTAAGTAATATAGTTCTTTTCTTAAATGTAAACGTTGGGTTTTGGCACTGCTACTTTTCCTTAGAACCGGTGGTAGCAGTAAGAATCATTTTTACGTACAAACACATCACTATTTACAACTATAGTTATCGTTAGTGCCGCACCTTATTAAATTCTTCTTATTATTAAATTTAATTGATGTCTTACTGTATAATAACAGATTTTTTTTTATCAAACCATCATCAATTTTTAAAGCTTGGCGTTGATAACGTATCAATGTTTTGTGGACTGTGTATTTATTTACTTGTTTATATATTTGCCAACGGATTTTCACACCAATTTTACAGTTTTGATTAGGCCTAAAGACGATTATCATAACATTTGATGACACTATCAAAACTTTCAAATAATTATTTTGTTTGTAATTTGCTTTGATTAAAGCGTAGCAAACCCCCAATTCGATTTTGTATTTGTGTGTGTATGTCTGTTGGTAACGAATTAATGTCCTTATTTCTCAGTGTTTCGTGGAAAAGACAAGAGCACCTTTGTTAATGAAAATTTCAACTCGAATAAAGTGAATTAGTGAGTCGGTGGCTCATTCGGTAGCGTCGCGGACTTCGGGCCGAAGACAGCGATGTCGTGGGGTTGGATCCTGGTCACTGCCACTGTATCAGTACAGTTCACCTTTGTACTGTACCGCCTTGCTTTGCTGTAAACGTTCCACGCAAAGGCGGTTAGTCTATGTGGACGGGCAAATGCAAGTTTAAAAGAGGCCGCCAACCTCTTTTTTAAAAGTAAAGTAGTAAAGTAAAGTGTGCAGTAGTGAGTTTGAGGTAGTAATTTAACTACTTTTAACCAGTGTCAAAAGTAACTTTCAATTACAGGCCTACCTTAGGGCTATGCCTCATATATCTATAAAGCAATTCCTTTTATCATTAGATATAAAATATGGACTAACACGATCGAGTGACATTTAATTGCGAAGCATTCGTTTTGGCTTTGAAACTGTCAGATAGGCCTATTGTATTGTATTTGCGAAGGTTTATATGTGTTCATATACAGTAATAGTTTTGCCACCATATCTGTAAAAATGCACACTAAATATGCAAACAAACTCCTGTTCTGAATATAAGGTTTCAACTTACTACAAGGTTCCCGTACGTAGAACGGGCAAACAGCTAGTACAGTATAAAATAACAATAAAAAATAATTGAAATAAAATAAAATAAAATAATTGTAATTTAATAATTGTAATTGTTTGATAACAATATAAAATATACAAGACAAATATGAAGTAGTAGGGTCTATAAGAAATTGGAGGAATTCGAATCAATGTTCCACAACCTTTTTACATAGAGAAGACTCATGAAATGTTTTACAGGGTGGGGCAGGGAAGTATCCCTAATTTTGAAGGTACATTAAAAAACAACCAAAAATGTTAGAACCAAACTTTTTATTGAGATTAAAAGGTTACATCTGGGAGTTTATTTTAATATAACTTAACTTGGTTTTAAACAGCATATTCTGCAAGTGGTGTCCCTAATCTTAAATGCATTGCTGTATTCTGGTTCTGGAGTTCATAATAACTTTGTGAAGCATTTGATGTGGAATGCGGCAAAATTCAAGGTGAATTGCATCCTTTAAGGCATCTAGGGCCTTCTCTTGAACTACCATAGGCTTAGCATCACTCCAGTAGAGCACATTCTGCTTATTTACCGCTCCAGAAATATGGAAGTGTGCCTCGTCACTAAACAAAACCCGAGCAGCATGAGGTAGTCCCGCAAGATTTCACATGCCTGCATTCGTTATATCCAGTCCCGTTGTGTGAGTTCTTGAGCAACTACCCTCTTGTATAGATGGAGGTGTAGGTCCTCATGGAGAATACGAGGCACAGTACTATTAGACTACGCCAGCGCGGATGCATTCTTACATGCAGAACTTTGATGAGACTGCAAAATCGATCTTCTGGCAAGGTCAATGTTTTCAGGACTCCGGACGGTTCTTTGGGCTCCAAATATCCTTCGCAATACACCACCGCATACACGAAAGTAATTCACCCACACCAAATTGGAACAGCTTTGCGACAGGCCACCCGATAACAAGTTCGCAGCCAACGCTAGCTGCACAGCAACAATGGACTGATTTTTGAAAAAAATACATCTCGAGTGCAAAAGCACATTGCTCACTCGAAAAAGCCATGTCTACTACTGAAAGTGATATTTTTAGAAATTCCCAAAACAAAAGCTTCATTTGAGTCTAACTCCATTCCTCCAGCACACGCCCACTACTCACAGTGCCATCTTAAAAGTAGGGATATTTCCCTGCCCCACCCTGTATTTAGAAGAACAATCTGACAAAAGAGCTTCCGTTTGTTCTACTATGTTGGGTTAACCAGTAAATATTAACCCATACAAATATAACTCAATCATTTATTCATGTGATTTAGTAACAAAAAAGCAAATTTCAAGTTTTGTGCCAAGTTCCTTTTTTGAACAAACTTTCAATGCTATGACGGAGCCCTTTATAGAATTATAATAATTATATACAATTTGATACTCACTTCTGATGTCACTCTTTCCACTTCAATCTGAAAAATACAAGTTAAAACGTATTATAATTGACAACTAATTTATGTCTATAAATCTTATCACCCACACCGCCACAAGAGGTAGCACAATCGTAACAGTTGATGCCAACTTTCAACCGTATTCATCATTATCTATTATCCATAATTTATATATTTATATGAATGATGAGTTGGGTTATCTACGTGGGTTGAAGTATTGAATACAATAATTTTTATAAAGTAAATTGTTATCAAACTATAATAAATAACCTAAATGTTTAGCCCTCCAACGTTTCCAAATATACCATCGGGAAAGGATGGAATTATTTCTTTTAATATGTCTGTGATTCATAATCTTTCCACATTTATAAAATATTAATACAATGGTATTCCACATAATATGATATATTAGTTTTATTAAAAAATTATAAAACATTGTGTTTTACATGATGCTGATGCATGATATTATAATGCGCTTAATTATACACGTCATGATGTAAAACATGATGTGTGTAATTCAGGCATGCAGTTTATCAATTAAGCGCAGTAGAAAGTAGGACAATAAATCAAGTAGGAGTAGAAATGTTGACCAAAGAATCTAATAATTTGACTCACCTTCCAAGATGTCAAATGCCGGGTGTGATACTGAAAAAGTTGTAAAAACAAATTTAAGATAATTTTTAAAACACGTGTAACAAAAACCAAACCACAAAATGTAATATCCATACGAATTAATTAAGCGAGTTTTGATTTTAGATGGGCTGTACTATTTAAAGGAATTATTTTGAAGCATGTACATTGTCCTTCGGTACAAGACTATTTAATTTAAAAAAACAATAGTTCAATTACAAATATACTGTTGTATTTAATTCGGTGATGCCTAACTTTAACTTTTTATCTCACATGTACAAACCCGTATTTTTGTCACCATAATGATGTGACGCATAGCGGCACGCTATATTTTATATAGTGTAAGCATTTCGCGAAGCCGGGCTGCATGACCAACTCGTTGCCTGCCGCGACTGCATTAACGCGCTATCCCCACCTTCCTACACTCTTGTCCTCCCGTCCTTGCTCTACCATCCTTTGTCCAAGAAAGATATAGCATTTTTACCGGCCTTCTCCGTCACCTTATGGATAAGTTATTTGACTATAGTTGTTTAGGATATAAGTAGAATTCAAGACCTTCTGCAGCCATCCTTATCAAACCTGTAAATTTCAATCATATGTTCCCAGAATGTAGCTTAATGATTATCGGTAAATTTCATGGATATATTTCACATTCAGTATTCAATTTACATATAATTTCATTCACTCATCAATATTAGCAAGTAATTATCCATGTTCAGTTCATAGTTGGAAGGATAGGTTCACAGTTAAATAGTAAGTTGAATTAATGTAAATCAAAGCTGGCTGGGCATGTGTTCTGATCTGGGTAAAAGATCTCCGTCCCTCTGGTCCCCAGCAATCTTCCTAATTTTATTGGTAGCAGATTCAGCACGCTTAAGTTAAGTTTAGTCCAGACACAGCAATTCCAACCCTATTAGCATTACCCAGTTATTCCCTCCGATTTCCCGAATTCCCAAAAATATTCTCTCTCACCCCCCCCCCCGCTACAATGAGTCTACTATTGGTTATTACACTTCTAAAGGTAAAACAATATTAATATTCAATTTTTAATAAATTAGATGTCTAATGACGAGTTGTTATGTGATTACAAATATTTGTAATAAAATACCAATAATAGCAATCGGATGATGTTATTGTTATTCTATAATTATTTTTATAAAATAGAGTGCAGGGCCGATTGTAAATTGCCTAAAAACTTTGACGTAGGTAATTTTACAGCCTTGAGGCTCGGCGGTGCGATTTCCAGCCATGTTATCAGTGACCGGTTCCTCGGTGCGGTCGGTTATGGGGGTGGAAAGATCGACCAGGGGGAGAGAGGGTGAGCGAAACTTCTTTTTAGGTATAAAATGAAACTGCTATAATCTATCCTAACCCAAAAAAACTTGCTGATTATGAAAAAATCTAATAAGGGTTTACTAATTATATTTTCAATTGATATTAGGATAGCCCAGTTAAGATACTGTATCCAGTCTCCATTACATCCTGCCCACTACTCCCCCTTCCACTAAGACCCCTCCCAGAATCACTCTTCCGATCTGGGGATTCAAACGGCACTCGGGCCTACCTGACTGTTTTGACAGTTTATGACCCCCACGGCAAAGAATAGGATGGCACTCGCTCCGTTTCCCCATAAAATGATAGTACATTTTAATTGTATCTTATTGGTTAAAAAAACTTACATCTGGTTCGAATTCAACAGTTTCCACCTGTGAACAAGAAACCACATATGCATTAACATAATGAGTTCTTCGAACTAATTTTTAAACCAGTCTTAAATATCGTAGGTTTGCAGAAAAAAATTAGCAAATTCCAACCTAACTATTAATGTAATAAATATAAAATAATCAATTTATCAATATAAAAGAGATTTTTATAGCATAATTTCTCACATAAGGGTTAATATTGGCTCATGTTTATGATTAATACTATATTTTTACACAATTTCAATGTTAAAAATTTTGAAAAATAACTTTGTTACTAGTAGTATTCAATGCTATAAGGCATTTAAAAACATTTTAATAAATGTCAGCACTTCAGCTTTCCCCACTAGTTATTGTTATTTTTTTATCTCCAGACGGGACCGATTGATTTGTTATCAAGTTTTCGTTTGGAAAAATTTCTGAGGTTTGATCCATTATTTATCCATACACAAACAGTTTAATCTAAATACGTTGATTCTAAATCGATACTTTATTTAGGAAGCAACGGAAGCAGTACAAATACACCCACTTGGCCTTGGGGACTACACATGTAAGACTGAGTAAGTAAAAACTTACTTAACATAATTACAAAACACTGCAAAAATAAAAATAAATACCGTGTTTCATAACAAAATTAGATATTCAGACTATAAAGAGGTTTAAAAAATCAATCATTAAACCTAATATTTGAACAATGCCTTACAGTTGCAGCGGCCTCCCAAACTAGAAATGCCTGAAACAGAAGTATGCTTTATTAGCCAACGTAAAATTTACTTAATCTGTAAAAAAAAATGTTAAGAGTTAGTTTTAGATAAACTTGGGAGCATAGTAATGGGACTGTTGTTATCACATTTCGTGTAGTAACCCCTTTTGTGGATTGGCCTTATAACGGCAGGTGTTAATGCATTGGGGAATTGTCCTTAAAGAAATTAGTGATTTGCTAGATGTGTTAGTGGAAGTCTGAAAACTCCCTTAGTAACATTATCAGCTCCTGAGCTTATCTTGTTCTTTAACTGATGAATTATTTGTTTTATTTCTGATTCTATTGTTAGGAATAAGAAAAAAGGAGTTGTTAAAAGTTATGAAAGCTCTGAATTTAAGAATAGTAAATTTAGTTGTCCCAAACTAGTCAGTTGGGCATTACTTTTTGTTAATATGTTTATTATGAATATATGACTAACAAAACTAAGTTCGGCAAAAGGATGGTCAAACTTACCAGCGTGCACATCACGAACACATGATGAAAGGTCTTCATGTTGAAGTCAGTGGAACTGGAATGAACTGCGCGCGAATTTATACCAGTTGGAATGAATAGTTCAAGGTCTAAATTTAATAAGTACCCTAATCACCTGCAATTTATTGGTTACCTGACATTACTGGTTAAAAGTAATCGTTCAAGGCCTAAATTTAATATGTAACATAATCATCTGCAATTAGTTATTTGTCGAGCAATATTCCAACATATGTTGGCAATTGCGACATTCCACCGAACTAAACTATGAACCTAAACCCATAATAAGTTAAACTTAAACTTTTAGTCATTTAGAAAACTATATTGGTAGTTTGGAAATAAACCTTTCCTGACTCCATTCTAAAACCTGAAACTATATTAACCAGCCTCATATAATATTCGAAACCTTTGGAGTTAGTTGTAAGAGGTTTATCCATTCCTATTACATGAGTGAACTATATTTACAGTATATTATCATCGTAACTCAACTTTGAGTATTCAAAGATCCATGAAAAACCCACGAAATATTCATCAAAGTAAAATAAAATTATAGGTATAACGACAATTTAGAATGCTCACGTGTGATGTAGGACATAAAGATTTTGAGTGTGATGGATTCGGGTGATTTAAATTTACGTTAAATACTAGTAAAAAAAATAATGATGACAATTCATTTTAAGTGGGTCATAAAATGTTCTGACAGTTTTTAAACTAGTAATTTCAGTAGTTATTTTCCACCTTAAGTATCAATGATTTCAGTTAATACTCATCAGCTTCATGGCGAAATTCATCTTCAATGTGTATTTTCAACTGCTTGATTTAAAATGTCTTCATTTCACTTAAATGTTTTCACTGTTTTGGTCATGTAAACAGGAAACCCTAAAAACCTTATGGGCTATGATAACAACCCATTAGGCCCTTTGATTGAAATAAGCAGTTCCAATTTAGATTATTAAAATTTTCAATGCATAACCTTTTTAACCCCAACATATATGATATATTCATGATAACTATATTTTTATCGTTGTACTACCTTTGAAAAACACAACAAATCCAAAAATGATGTCCATTGTCTTAGGTTGTAATTATCCCTTTGAAACGCTTAAATTATCGTAAATTTTTTTGCGAAAATAATGTGTTTGTACCTCATACTTTTCTTACTCTTAACATGATTTCCAATAGAAAACCCTACTCGGTATACTAGGAGTATTGGGAGAAACTGAAGCTAAAGATAAAGGGTTTACCATTTTTTGTACTTTAACAAACAATTTTGAAACCCATTTAACTATTTTACATGTTCAAAATGTGTTATAGAGAAAGGATGTTCAGATCAGGATGAGAACTGTCTCATCTAAATCTTACCTTTTTGAATATTTGACTTTTGAAAGAATAATTTTTACTATAACACAAAACAACAACCTTGCTTTATTTCACTTATCTGCTAATTTAAAATTAACTAGATTTTATATAAAATTAAGTCAGAGTAAAAAGAATTAATTAGTTAAACATAAAATCATAATGTTACAGGCTCTGAAAATGCAATAAGACGTCACCAAGAAATGTGTGCTTTAAAAAACCATATATTTTTTCTTGAGCTGATGCAATTTAATTATTACAGTTTAGATCACTTTATTACATTTTTTTGTGTGTCCACTATGGTTTATGTATTAATTAACCTAAAACAGCCTTAAAATAAGGTAAGAATTTTCTTATGCATTGATATTATAGTAGTTATTTTTACAATATTATTACTTAGTTTATGTTAAGCCTTCAGAAATAAGAAGTGCTATAATCTGTAATGTTAAGAACCCTTAGAGGCTAGCGGCAATCTTGGATTACAGCAAACAGCTGCTAAAGAGTCATTTATCATTCAAAAATATTTTCTTCAAATACCAAAGTGGTTTTTGTTTAAATATCTAGGGCGCTATGAGATCAGAAATAGTCTTTGTGATTTTTTAATTGTTTTCCAAGGAAGCCGTTGGAAAATACCCGCTGAAATATTATTTACCATCTCAAAATGAGTTTTGAAATACCAAAGTGAAAGTTACGTAAGTACCTTGAAAGTTGAAATAGATGTTTGAGAAATTTACAACTGATTTTCATCGTGTCGCAATGTGTAGTCAACAACTGGTGTCATAGCACAAGCTCTTAAAATAGTAAAACAGTTGAGTAACATAGCATTTTCCCGACAACCTGCGTTTATGCCACGAACATTTTATCGCTTGTAAAGTTCGTCTAGAGAGTTCGCACGTAGGCAGTAACTTGAACGCCGTGAAATATTTATGATTGTCGGTCCGCGTACTACCATTGACCTGCTGTATGTAGAACTTCACACACTTACATTTAATGTGTCATCAAAAATGTAATTTCCCGAGTAAAATTTGAGCGAAATGTGTATAATTTAGTTGACAACAACATTCTGACATAGCAGATATGCTCAACGGAGAGAGAGTTTTAAATCTACTTAGTGAAATTATGAAATAGTTACACGTCTACAACTAAAATAAGGGAACGAAATATTTATTATTTACACTAATTTATGTTATGATATATGCCTTACACGTTATACAGCATTTTTGGTATAAGACTTCCAATAAAATTAAGTTATGGAGGTAAAGATAAAAAAATCTGTACAAATTCTCAGGCAGTAGTTTGATTCGGGTAACAAGGAATTGTATTTTTAATTTCAATTACCAAAAGTGGCATTATCCGTCTCATGCTCAAGTTTCATGTGACAGGTGAAGCCACATATAATATTGTTGAACAATAAATACTGATGATTGTAACAATATAAATAAATCGTAAACTAACACCATGCACGTAGTGGGCAAATTTAGAACTGACTGAAAGTAAACTTATGGGAAGAGAAAATCAGCAGGTCGCGTTTTCCTTGCTCTAAATTAGAGATTGGGAAACAACTGATGTCTTCGATGTCAGCTGTAACCAAAAACAGCTGCTTTCAATACGGAGTAGCGAATAGTAAATTTCACTACTAGACTGGCATGTGAAAAACTATCTCGCCCCGAAATGGATTTTCGTGAAGAGTATTGAACGATACTTTTTATCACTATGAAATAAAATACCTACTTCATTAAGCTTTAAAAAAATATCTGTTATTTCGTTATCTATTCATTTTTCTAATCTGTGCACAATACGGTCGTACAATTAATTTTTCCTACAGTTACCTAACAATGTACATGTTCTCTCACTGATTTGAGAAAGCAAAGTGGCCGATTCGCTCATCAGTAATTCACTCTAGTTACTTTGTCTCACTCCAGATTTGCAACGTGAAGGCACGAAATAGTGAGTGCGTAACATGCAGACAAGGTCGTATGCAGGCGAAATACGTTGGCAGCACTGGCTGTAAATCAGCTGGTCAGCTGTTGTACTGTTGTATCATTAAATGTCGTATTAAAAGTTCACTTCTGTGTAAAAATATGTCACGTTTCCTTACCAATTTATTTGTTTTATGGTAGGAAAAATATAATGTGCAACTCGAGTGCAAAGTGCCAATTGCCTCACTCGAGAAACCATTCTTCACTCGCCTACGGCTCGTGAGTAAGTATTTCTCTCGAGTGTGAGTCAATTGCTCCCTTTGCTCACTAGTTGCACAAATAACTATTAGTGTAATATTCAGCTGATTGAACGAGAAAAAACTGCCAAAACAAACATATAAAAACAGATAAATAAACTTTGTCAGCTGATTACTATTTGTTTTTGGCTTATGGAAATTGAAGACTTTCGAAGATCTCAGCTGTATGGAAATGGGCTATTTTCGAATACAGATTAATGAAAAACGAGGTGTTAGCCCGTCCTACGTACGGGAATTCAGTAGTCAGTTAAAACCGTGTACAATTCAGATCAGCTAGTTTCCACATAAAGACAAAGTTCCTTGCAGTTTTATTGTGAAAAATCACCTTGTAAACAAATTTTGTGTGACCAAATATTTGTTTATTCCATCATAGGCCTATACGATATGCATTTTAAATCCGATAATTGTACAATAAAACAGCAATTCTGCAATTTTTACGATGTGAAAAGCGTTGAAGTGAGATTTGCAGCCGATTCGCACAGACGCACACTGATTATAAGTAGGCCTACAGTAGAGAGAGTAATAGTCAATTGAGAAGTGTATAGACCTAGTCAACGATACCACCTTCCATACTTACTTACTTACTTACTCCTTCTTCATCTTTTACCCAAAAAGGGATAGATTGCGTCTCGACAAAAAAATAGCATAGGTACCCTGCCTCTTCCATAATTATTATCACCACAATACAACTACTATACACAATTTCCAGTAGGTCTGAATAAAACGACCTAAAATAAAACGATAATATCCAATACAATTCACATAATTTAACTTTGGTGTCCTAACATCAAAAGTAATCGTCACACCTATCCTTTATATCAATGTCACTGCTTCAATTGCAAAATAAATAAGTGTAAACAACGAAAAGTAAAAACAATAACAGTTTGTTTTGAAACAGCTGTTTGGTTCAAATAACATTCACTTGAAAAAAAGAACTTGTCACATGTAGCAGGAATATAAAAAGTAAACACGCTAGTAAAGATAATGACGTAATTGTCAATGTTTATTATCCATACCGTATATCAGTTCTATCCTTGATAATTACCCACCCTCATTGAATAAATGTACATCGTATAGTTCCCCATATTAGTTAATTTAAACTACGATGTATTCATAGTTGAAATAAAAGTGATATTTTCACGTTTGGGGGCGCTGATATAGGCACCCCCAAAAGTAACCACAACTGAACACGATTTCAAAAAAGGATGGTTTGTCTAATTGCAGTATCCTAGGTCAATGTTGACGTTGTGTTCAATCTATGTCATCCATCTGTTTATCTTTGTATAAAACCCGGCTGAGGTTGTGGTGGTAATTTAAAATCGTGATTCCTGATTATTCTTGATCTTCTTTTTATGACATCAATATTTCCGTGCCTAATCCAAACAAAGTTAAAGCAGACAAATATTAATTGTAAACAAAGAGCTACCATGAAGAATTAAAACATGTAAACATCGTTATTTTTCTATTCTTTCCTCTAAAAGTGGAATAGTAAAATAATTTGCATTTATCCTTTTTTTATTAAGACTCGTGTACAGAGCCTCGATTTGTAC